TCAAAGGTGTCTATAATTGCGAGGTTAAAATCTGGATGTGGTGGCTCAAATGTGCAATTGTCCTATGACTTATATCAACAATTTGCATTGACTAATAAATAAAACCCGTGCGTTCTAGACTATTTTTCACAATATGGTTACATTTTTTTAACTCTGCAATTTTCACAATCCTTATAGAATTTTTATAATTTTTTGTCTTAGATAAACTAAGTAAAACTAAATTAAAGAAAAAACACATGCATGAATGTACCCAACAGGTAGGTGAATATTAGAGTTATGAATCTTTATGGCATCTTGATATCAGGTATATTTGCCTCAAGTCTGGTTGTTATGGGTGTTTAATTTTTGTTGAAATACATGAGAATGGACAAATTTTTTATGTATGACCATGAAAAATATATTTTTCAAAACTAGCTTGACTCTGGCTGTATATTACATATGTGCGAATTTATAGCTATGTTCCAACTCTTTTAATTTTTGAAAATTCTCCTTGTCTCCTTGACAGGTTTATGCACTAATGTCATTCTTGTCCACTCATCCTAAATGAGAGATGCCATCTATTTCAATTCCATCGAGAAATGTAAGTATTGTTCAAGTTTGTATTTTTGTGTGCTAATTCTTTTTCTTTGATTGGTATTATAATATGACTGCTCATTCCGTTTGCTCCATGGAATGCGTGCCCTTTTTTTTTACCCTCTGTGTTCGAAACTCTTGCAATAAGTAGCAATCATGAATACAGATGGAATGATAGTTTTCATGAGAGGACTTTGTAGGTGTGAAGAAAACATGTATTTATTCTTAAAAAATATCTTTTTTACGATTGTCTTTCTTTATGTCGACCTTTAAAGCTTTGCATCATCGTAGATGGGTTATAGTCAAAAGTTTTGTGGGTTCAATGAGATTGCTTTTATGTCAAAACTCTGTTGTTTTTCTCCTATGCTAAGTGGGGACTGGATGCCCACTGTTGAGTTGACTGCATGCTCAATTGTTTGAGCTTCCAGTGCGCTAGATTTATGAAATATGGATATGCATCTTCCAGTCAAGTTGCTTGACTTGGTATTACGTGTCTATACTTGCATTTTTGCTTTATATAGTGCTATATTACCTTTGCAAAAAATATGTATAGATTTGAAGATTTGAAGTTAAATCGCGTTAATTGCACAATGCTGTATATTCTATAAATTGAAGAATAAAGATCACTCCATGCTTCGTTCAACTACTAATGCATAGATGATTCTGATATCATTCATACACCAAAGTTATTGAACTGTCAAGTTAATTACCCAACTTGTGGACTGCTACTGAATACTGATTGTTACGTCAAGAAAACCAAGAAGCTTATTGTTAGCTCTTTTTGTCTTTTTGTGGGCTGAGAATTTCCTTCTTTTCTAATCCTTGCATCTTCTTGATGCCTTTGTTAATGATATCCTACTTCATAAATAAATAAAAAAGAAGAAGCTTGAAGCATATCAAAACCTAGAACCTTGGAAGAATGTCGAAGGAAGCTTATAAAATTTGTCAAACGGCGTAAAACATTGTTGACATACACTTGCTGAATTGTAAAATAATTGCAATATAATAGGTGATATCCCTCTGAGATACAGATGTCCCGGATGTCTTAAGAATCAATATAGTGAAAACTATTGGAGAGAGACCTTGTCGGGGAGAGGAGACTCTTAGCTGAAAGTTTAAGATTTACTTAAAGAACCCACAAGGAACCCTTATCCAACCAACCTCAGTTATGACATAGGCATCTTTCTGAGATCATCATCATCCTCCTAGACTTTCTGTTCAAGTATTTCTGAAAACTACACTTCGTCTGTCATACTGACCTCATCCAACTAGACCATCTTCTTCAAGTTGTTTTCTTGAAAAACTCTCAAGCTGTCTAACCCACCTCTTTAGATCACCGCAATTCTCAGACATCAATCTTCAACATATTCCGAGTTTTTAGTTCCTTTTTTAGAACAGCTCTGATTCACTCTGTGTTACCTGGCCTATTTTTCTATTGCAGTTTTGCTTATGATTTTGCAGTTATTGCTAAAGTTTTGATTCACAATAACTTAAGCCTAGTATATGACAATTAGACATCTGAATGAACCGTCTTTGTGCAAAATAGGATGGAGAGAATGTTTTTCTTGCTGTCAGAAAGTTGTCTGAAAATAGAAGAGGAGGCTCACTATATTTAAAATGCAGTAAGAGAACGACATTAGAGGAGGCACAAACTGTTATTTAACTTTAAATCGTACTTCATAAAAGAAACTGTTGTTGACTGCTGGGCACTACGGTTAGCGGCATTTAGCGAGTAGGAATTTATCGGTTAAGCATAGTGTGGACTACACTTTGTGCTGGTCGTCAACTACATCTGTGGGTGGAAAATGCTTTAAGATCCATTTTGTGTGACTATTTGTGGAGGATTATGGAGCTACACTGTAGAGACAAGCACAAATTGCAATGTAGAGACAAGGCACCAAATTGCAATTTGGTGTGGGCTAGATTATGTGAGATGGATGAAAAAATGCGGTTCCAGCCACAATCGACATAGCTGCATGAGGTATATACATGGTTCTGACACGGGAATATCGACAACGTGGGTGGAAGAAGCCAGAAATTCAATGGGAGAACCTCAGTGGATGTAGATATTTGAAGTCGGTTTTATTTTGATGGGAGGGTCTTAGCAAGATGTTACGTAGCCATGTAGATGAGGGTTGTGTTGGAATGGAGAGAAAGTGACAACTAATTTTTTTCTTCTTAGTGATTGGAGGGCAGACAATTGTTAATAGCTGCAAGAACATGCACCCCAATTCCATATTAGTTTGGGATTGTTGTATGGCACCACTGTATCCATTCGACATGATTTAGACAATTTTCATTCTATTTATTCAATAATTACCGAAGGTAATTACACCTCACACGTTTCTCTATACTGATTTACAAATCTATAAAACGAACAAAACGAATTTTTGTTCAAACACTTGACGTGATGTAAATGTCCCAACCACAGCCTGTTTTACTAGCTTTTGCTGTTTTTATTTGACCATCTTCAAACAATACACCTAACTTGTACACATTCTGGGTTCTTAAGATCAATCATTAAGTTTTAAATCACTCTAATATGCAGGGAAAAAGTTCAACCTTTTCTTTTTTAATCTCTGTGCTAGTAAATTGACACAACATATATTAGGTCGAAGGGGATTACTTGATGAGCTGTAATTTGTTCGAGGTTCGGTATTTCGAGGAGTTGTTGGCTAAGACCCGATGTGAAGACTGTTGTAGTTCTGAGTTATTACTTGCCTTTACTGTATTGTGATTTGGATTTGGGTTTATATTTTCGCTCGCTCTTTTATGTCATTATTACGGTGTTTCCATTGTCACTTGCTGTTTTCTTCCATATTGTGATTGTTGTATTGTTAGCCATATCGTATAGCCTTTATATATACATCATGTTCTGTTGTTCCTATGCTTATATTTGTATTGTTTATTGGACAAGTGGGTGTCTTGACTGTTCCTCGTTACTACTCTACCGAGGTTACGCTATACCTATTTGAATTATTGTTATGTCAGTTAATCGCAGGAGACTTATTGGTGGGCCCACAAATAGGTATAGCGCGGTATTATACTGCGCTATATATATATTTGAATTACAGTTATGTCAATTAATTTCAGGAGACTAATTGGTGGGCCCACAAACAGGTATAACGCGATATTATACCGCGCTATATATAACGCGTTATTATACCGCGCTATACTTTAATGGCAGAAACACCGTTAAAGTATATCGCGATATTACACGGCGTTATATGTAGAAATGTAACTTTTTTTAAGGCCGTAGAAACGTATTTTGTGTTCAAAAAGTTGGCATTTAGGTTTCGGACTCTTTAAAAAATTCAATTTTCAAATCAAAATAGCTAGATATAGTAGAAAGATTAGACAAATCCACATAAAACACTTACCTTAGCCGTGGACATTTATAAAATTTCATACCAGGGTTAGCTAGAGTGGTTGATGTGAAATCGATCGCAATGATACCACATCGACACCTTCTACGAGAGGAAGTACTACTCTGCGACATTGAATCTCACCTGAGAGGACAAAGTAGAGCAAATGAGAGGAAAGAGAATTTTGTGCCTGAACCCTAGTTTTTCATAGGCTGAATAGGGTCTTATTTAATCGATGAAGTAGACTAATTAACAGGTTATAAGGGTGGGGCGGGTTTCTAAAAGAATGGGTCAAGAATTGCCTAGTTGGCAAATTATTATGGGTTCCCGGTGCCATGTTGGACATCTGTTAGGGTTAAGGACAAATTTATATACTATATTAACGGTAGGTATAATTTTGGACGAAAAGTAAAAATGGGTATAAACGTAACTAATTTTCAATAGTAGAGGTATATGGAGAAATTCAAAAATAGCCAAATTTACAAGTGGTCATTCAAAAATAGCCATAGTTTCAAAAGTAATCGAAATTTAGCCACTTTTCATGTAAAGATAAATCTGAACGAAAACACTGTTCAAAATCCGGAAAAATACTCCAGTATAATATACTGAATTTTCAGTATAATATACTGGAACTCCAATATATTATACTGGAGTTCCAGCATAAGTATACCGGTCCAACATAATATACTAGAGATTGGACAACTGGTGCTCCAATCTCTAGTATATTATACTGTAACTTTTCGCGTGTTGGAGTTCTAGCATAATATGCTGGAAGTTCGTACACATGTGCACCGATTTTCAGTATATTATGCTGGAACTTTCCGTGTTGCAACAAAATAGTGACTATTTTTCAATGACTTTGCAACCGCTGTCTATTTTTGAATGACCAATCCGAAAACTGGCTAACCCATGTTATTTTTACGACAATTTTAGCCTTTTTCCCTTTATTAAACAATTAATACAAAAAGGGACAATTGGCGAAATTCTTACAAAATAATTTGAGGTAATTCACCTGAAATTGGGCTTCTACTATTTCATGGGCCAAAACAACTTAATCTCATGGCTTAAGAGCGGGAAAAGGCGTTAACCCATTCCAACTTCTAGACTCTTCGCTGCTCAAATCAAAACGGAGCTGCTATTATCACATTTAACGCTGTACTCCGTTCATCGTCCATGGCCGGGATAACCATTACCCGGTGGCTCACCGTCTCTCCGGCGTCTTCCACCTCACTACTTCGCCGTCTGCTTTCCCCTTATTCCCTTCGTTACCACCACTCCTCTTTGCCAACCCAAATTCCCAAAACAGTGTCCTCTTTTTCAGTCTCCACAATTACCTCATTCAGAAGCAGACCGTTTTCCACCACTACTACCACCCCTGAAACACCCATTTCGAATACCCCAACTCCAGCTCCTCCGAAGCGCAACACATTAGTCAATTTCTCATTATCTGATTCAGAGGACTCCGATTCTGAGGCGGATATGAACAAGGTAACAAAATCGTCGACTAAACAGATAGACAAATCCAAATTACCACCACCATACGACCCATTTAACAAGAAACCCGTAATTGAGGAACCCGAAGACCCAACGAACTTGCAAGAAGTGTTTCACACGATACGTTCAGATGGGCTGATCAACAGTGCAGTGAAGATGTTCGACGGATTGTCAAAGGACGGGTTAACCCATGAGGCGTTGGAGCTATTCTCTCAGATCAAGGACAAGAGCCAGATGCCAGATGTGGTGGCTCACACGGCGGTGATCGAGGCATACGCCAATGCGGGGCAGCCCAAGGAGGCTCACAAGGTGTACCTGCGGATGCTGGCAAATGGGGTGCTTCCGAATGCGTATACGTATAGCGTTTTGATCAAGTCGTTGGCAGAAAGTGGAGAAGGGAAGTTGGCGAAAGAGGCGAAGAAGTATGTGTTGGAGATGGTGGAGAAAAGGGGAATGAAGCCAAATCCTGCTACTTGTTTGGGCAGTTACGAAGGGTTGGTGAAGGCAGGAATGGAGGAAGAAGGGAAAGAATTATTGGAGATAATGAAGAGCAAAGGAGCTGTGCCTGAAGAGAGTAAGATGAGGGAGGTCTTGAAGAATAAAAGAGGACCAATTCATAGGACCATAATGCAGGTTTTCTATGGCAAGTAAAATATGTTTTTTTACATTCATGGCTCTTTGTTGTGTAAATTGTTGTAGTAGGAAGATTCTTGGTATTTGTCATATGGAAACAAATTGCTACAAGAGATGAAGAGAACTATGTGCTTGGGGAAATTTGATTTTCTAGTTTTTGGCAATTACCTCTTTTGGATGAACTTCATATAATATCTGGAATCAACAAAATCTTCTACCAGAGCAATTAAACAAAGTTTCTGGCTTATAATCCTTTAAAGTGGCCTTCTTTAAGGCCTATAAAGTGGCCCTCTTCTGGTCGTTGGTGCTTCTGCTACCCTTTTCCCTTTCAATGCCTACAGGATTTTTCTAATGAAGTTATTTTGAAAAGGCAAAATACATAACTTACCACCTTGTACCTAAATCCCTGTTACACACTTGCCGATTACGGGAAACCTTTTACACACCTAACTTTTCAAAAGTGTGTTTAAGACACACCATTTTGATTACGTGTTGCTCGCCTATTTTACACACATAACAGGCGCGTGGAGAGTTAAAATTTTGCATCTTAAGCCTCATTTTGACGCCACTTGTCCAGCTTTTTCATTTTTTTTATTTTTCTGAATATTTTCTTCATTTTTTAGAAAAAAAATCCACCAATTGTTTCCATCTTCTTCTTTTACTGCACCATCGCCTTCTACTATCACACCACCAGAAACTTTTGCCAAGGTCTAAAGGTGGAGAGTAAACGAAAATTTCAGTGTTCCCGTATTTGAGCACTCATCGGCAATTAATTTGGCGATGATTTGTTTTTCAAATTCTCCAATTTGTTATTTATTTCAAGATTGGGTGGGTTTCATATCAAACTTTTGGTTAATTTCATCTTTTATAGCACCAACAATTTCTGAAAACTTTACACTAGCAAATTTAGGATTTTTACTTGCAAGGATGGGATATTTAATGTGGCAAAAATAAAGAGTAATGGTGAAGTATGTGAAAAAGAAGATGAAAATTAATGATGAATTTATACGGGTGGGGTGGTGGTTCTTGAAAGTGGCAAAGATGAGGTAGTTGATCTTTGGTCTTTTGCATCAATCTATCATTGTTGATTAAAGATTTGATGCAAGTACAGATTTACTCGGCTTGGGGGAGGAGGGACAGTCATGGTGGTACAATTTGGGGAAGACGAAGAAGATGAATATAAATCAAGTATCTTTTTTCTTTTTTTTAAGTAATAACACGTGGCATGTTATTATTGGTGCGTCACTATACTTGCTGAGAAAAAAGTGGTTAAACAGCGAAAAGGTGTGTCTTTGACACACTTCTAAAAGGTTGAGTGTGTAAAAGATTTTCCGTGATCGACACGTGTGTAATAGGGATTTGAGTATAAGATCGATGAGTAAACTATGTGTTTTGTCTTTTGAAAAAACCTTTGCTTTTTCACATCCTAAACATGCAGCTGTCACAGACCAGTAGTAATACGAGGGTCTTTGCTCTTCTATCAGAAATTTACCACCAAAGGGAAAAGAAAAGAAGAAAAGTAGTAGTGTACAATTGATACTCGCCTAGCATGTTCTGTCTTTGTGTCCTATCGTGTTCTCTAAAGACACATTTTCGACCTTTACCAAATAAGATGGTCTATAAATCTTATTAGTGTCGTCTGTATTTTTGTATAGATACAGGATTGTGATGTGTCAGAATCAAACAGGATTGTGATGTTATCCAGCAATGACTCACACAAGATTTAAACTTTATGGGTATAACTTTTAAGATTTTAAGTATCAAAACCCATTATATTTATAAAGTTATGAGTTCATATCTATTATTTTTGCAATTTTAATAAATTTTTATCCCAACACTTTTACTCCGCCTCGAAAGTTACAAATTCAGTTGAACCGTCAGCATCACCAACACACTACATTCGCCCCTTGCGACAAGTTCGAGAATGTTAGAAAAATATTTGAGAATGTCCAATTGATTAGCTCAACTCGTCTTTGACCTTTTAGCTTGTCTTCCTCGTTGAATACAGTAGTATTAGTCTTAACAGCTAGTTTTATACTGATGCTATGTTTCTTATTTATTTTATCTTATCAAAGAAAGCACCTACTAAAAATCCCATATGTAACTTTTTAAAACCTATCCTAATTACCACTTACCCAAAAAGCTTATTCTGTATCTTTCTCACGTATGAATGCTCATTCTTCATTTCCAAAGGAAAATAGTGATAGCTGATTTTACAAGATTGTCAAGTTTGGAATCACTTTTTCCTATGCACATCTTTGTGATTATAATCCCTGAAATAAAGCTAGCGTTTGGACATAGATTTAGTTGAAACTTAAAAAAATAATTTTTGAAGTAGTTTTGAAAAATAATTTTTGGAAGTTGAAATTATGTTTGGACATGCATTTTATTTGAAAAAATTTTGAAGTTTTGTGAGTGGGAGAACAAGTTTCACCCAAAATCTACCCTAAACTAGATTTTGGAAACTTGAAAAATAATTTCAGAATTTTTTCAAAAATAGATCATTAATCTATGAACAAACAATGTTTTCATTTTTTTTTTTGAAAAGACGGTGCCAAAATGTATGGCCAAACGGGGCAAAAGTGTATGAAAAATTACAATCATCTATATCTTGTTTTTATACAAATAGTCTGCTCTTAAAATTGCTACAACAATTATAGTACGCAGTTCTAATGGTTTCACAGAATACTTTTTCTTTGATTTAAGAAGAAAACGTAATCCTTGTAGTTTACTGACCAAGTACAATAATAATGATGCATATTGCAAATTTATCAATGGAAAAAGTCAAGTCCAATTCTATACTTACCATTTTATCTCCTTTTATTCTAAAAAAATATAAAATGTATTTCCCCGAATTCTATACTTATACTTGCAATTTAAATAGAGTAAAAAGCAAGTGTTGAATTTCGAATATGATTGGGAACCAAAATTTAAAGAATAAAAGAAAAAAAAAATGTTACTAATGATTAGTGATTGTTAGTAATAATTGAGACAACTCAAGGAAATAAATACAAAATTGAATGCCACCTTTGAACCAAAGAAAAAAAAAATTGAATGCCACCTGTCTCTTTGAATTACGAAGAATTACAGTTAGGAGAAAGAAAAAAATGAAGGAAAAAAGATTTTATCCTTTGCTGGCAAGTTTTGTTGAAGCGATATCTGTTTTCCAATTCCAGCAAATAAAATACGTCTCTCCGTGAAGCCGCCATTATTGCTTCCCCTTGTCCCACAAGCCCCCACAATTCACTTACAGCGCTTTGGCCAAACCTTTTTTTTCTTTTGATTTATTAAATCGCAGATCTATATAGTTCCATCCTCTTCATTGAACTTTCACTTTTGACCCAGTTTTGCGCACTTCTTTAATATCTTTGCCTCCGATTGCATCGATAAGGTGAGTATTGCTTTACCCATTTCTGTATGTTTTTTTAAATTTCGCGATTCTCTTTCTATATATAGGGAAAATCCCAGTTGGAATTTGAAGTTCTGTTTAATTTCTTTGACCTTTCAATGAATTATGTACATTTTTGTCGAATTATACTTTTGTTGATAAGTTAAATCTTAACATTTGTATTGAATTAGGGTTTCCTGATGTCCCGAGGTCGGTGTACATCCAATTAAAGTTAAACAAGCCCAAGTCTTGAATTATATCAACAGTTTCTTCTCTTTGGTGAAGGAGAGAAGTTCTCAGCTATAGGGGGTTTTGAGCTCTTTCTTTAGTTCTGTAAGTGGATTCTTTATTTTTTCCCCATTTTATTGGATTTACTTATCTATTAATTTCATAAATTGTCTCAATTTTACTGATTTGGTTGTCTTTCTAAAGTTTCAGAGAAGGGCGTTTATGTTTGATTTTTGGTAGCCTGCTGAACAAATGGCGCCCATATACTATATCCTCATTGCATTGCCTTGCACCGTTGGTGCCATTGGACTGGCGCTTTTGCACATATACAGACACCTTTTGAATTACACTGAGCCTACTTATCAACGATACATTGTCCGCATCATCTTTATGGTTCCTGTGAGTCTCTCTCTCTTGGCCTTTATTCTTCTTCCCTGTCAAACCTGCAAATGTAATATTATAGACTACTTACTGTATTTGATCATCTGCATAATCAAATGTATTTGATCATCTGCATAATCAAAACTTGTTTTTTTATGTTTTCTAAAGAAGTTTTTGCAAAAAAAGATTTTAAGAATTTGGGCTTTGATACCAAGGTTATCCAAAAAAAAAAAATTGTTTTTCTTTGATGACGTGGTTTGAATAGTTCTTCTACTCACTAAATACTCATAATCTTCAAAGATTACAACTATCCAAACATATTTTCCTTTTGCATGCAACATGCACTTCTTTTAAAAAGAAATTCTTAAAAAAGTTGACTAAACCGCTGCAAGTTAATTCATTTGGCTGTATGTAGGTATAAGATGACCAATAGACCTCATTACAACAACAACATAAAAAAAACCAGTGTAATCCCACCAAGTGGGGTATGGGGAGGGTAGTGTGTCCGTAGACCTTGCCCCTACTTAATGAAAATAGATAGGCTGTTTCCGGTAGACGCTCGGCTCGACCAATAGACCTCATTGTATTTAAAATTTTGTAGGTCCAGAAGTAGGGATCAAGTTGATTTTTGAACGGGTTCATACTGCCATTTTGTTGATATTAGATAAAACTTAAAAGAGTTGTCATCCCACTGGAGGGTACGATGTCCACAAATTCTGACAGGAACTAAATTGGGAAGTTGGTGAGTTTAATCTGGGAAAGCTGGTGTAGAAGATATAGAAAATTAGAAACTGTGGTATTTGTTAAAAATTGAAGTAGGAGGAAGTATGTGCATGTAGGGATTTCAAATTCATTGTCACTTAATGCTGTTAAGTTTGTAGATCTTTGTCCATTAATGGAAGAACTAGTTTCAAAGGTGTCTATAATTGGAGGTTAAAATCTGGATGTGGTGCTCAAATGTGCAATTGTCCTATGACTTATATCAACAATTTGCATTGACTAATAAATAAAAACCCGTGCGTTCTAGACTATTTTCACAATGATGGTTACATTTTTTAACTGCAATTTTCACAATCCTAGTAGAATTTTATAATTTTTTGTCTTAGATAATACTAAGTAAAACTAAATTAAAGAAAACACATGCATTGAATGTACCCAAACAGGTAGGTGAATATTAGAGTTATGAATCTTTATGGATCTTGATATCAGGTATATTTGCTCAAGTCTGGTTGTTATGGTGTTAATTTTTGTTAATAACATGAGAATGCAAATTTTTTATGTATGACCATGAAAAATATATTTTCAAAACTAGCTTGACTCTGGGCTGTATATTACATTGTGCGAATTTATAGCTATGTTCCAACTCTTTTAATTTTTGAAATTCTCCTTGTCTCCTTGACAGGTTTATGCACTAATGTCATTCTTGTCACTCATCCTAAATGAGAGTGCCATCTATTTCAATTCCATTCGAGAAATGTAAGTATTGTTCAAGTTTGTATTTTTGTGGTGTAATTCTTTTTCTTGATGGTATTATAATATGACTGCTCATTGTTTGCTCCATGGAATGGTGCCCTGTTTTTACCCTCTGTGTTCGAAACTCTTGCAATAAGTAGCAATCATGAATACAGATGGAATGATAGTTTTCATGAGAGGACTTTGTAGTGTGAAGAAACATGTATTTATTCTTAAAAAATATCTTTTTTTACGATTGTCTTTCTATGTCGACCTTTAAAGCTTTGCATCATCGTAGATGGGTTATAGTCAAAAGTTTTGTGGGTTCAATGAGATTGCTTTATGTCAAAAACTCTGTTGTTTTCTCCTATGCTAAGTGGGGACTGGATGCCACTGTTGAGCTTGACTGCATGCTCAATTGTTGAGCTTCCAGTGCGCTAGATTTTATGAAATATGGATATGCATCTTCCAGTCAAGTTGCTTGACTTGGTATACGTGTCTATACTTGCATTTTTGCTTTATATGTGCTATATTACCTTTGCAAAAAATATGTATAGATTGAAGATTTGAAGTTAAATCGGTTAATTGCACAATGCTGTATATTTCTATAAATTGAAGAATAAAGATCACTCCATGCTTCGTTCAACTACTAATGCATAGATGTATTCTGATATGGCATTCATACACCAAAGTTATTGAACTGTCAAGTTAATTACCCAACTTGTGGACTGCTACTGAATACTGATTTGTTACGTCAAGAAAACCAAAGAAGCTTATTGTTAGTCTTTTTTGTCTTTTTGTGGGCTGAGAATTTCCTTCTTTTCTAATCCTTGCATCTTCTTGATGCCTTTGTTAATGATATCCTACTTCATAAATAAATAAAAAAAGAAGAAGCTTGAAGCATATCAAACCTAGAACCTTGAAGAATGTCGAAGGAAGCTTTAAAATTTGTCAAACGGCGTAAAACATTGTTGACATACACTTGCTGAGATTGTAAAATAATTGCAAGTTATAATAGGTGATATCCCTCTGAGATACAGATGTCCCGGATGTCTTAAGAATCAATATAGTGAAAACTATTTGGAGAGAGACCTTGTCGGGGAGAGGAGACTCTTAGCTGAAAGTTTAAGATTTACTTAAAGACCCACAAGGAACCCTTATCCAACCAACCTCAGTTATGACATAGGCATCTTCTGAGATCATCATCATCCTCCTAGACTTTCTGTTCAAGTATTTCTGAAAACTACACTTCCTCTGTCATACTGACCTCATCCAACTAGACCATCTCTTCAAGTGTTTCTGAAAACTCTCAAGCTGTCTAACCCACCTCTTTAGATCACCGCAATTCTCAGACATCAATCTTCAACATATTCCGAGTTTTTAGTTCCTTTTTAGAACAGTCTGATTCACTCTGTGTTACCTGGCCTATTTTTCTATTGCAGTTTTGCTTATGATTGCAGTTATTGCTAAAGTTTTGATTCACAATAACTTAAGCCTAGTATATGACAATTAGACATCTGAATGAACCGTCTTTGTGCAAAATAGGATGGAGAGAATGTTTTTCTTGCTGTCAGAAGTTGTCTGAAATAGAAGAGGAGGCTCATATATTTAATGCAGGAGAACGACATTAGAGGAGGCACAAACTGTTATTTAACTTTAAATCGTACTTCATAAAAGAAACTGTTGTTTGACTGCTGGGCATCGGTAGCGGCATTTAGCGAGTAGGAATTTATCGGTTAAGCATGTGTGGACTACACTTTGTGGTCGTCAACTACATCTGTGGTGGAAAATGCTTTAAGATCATTGGTGACTATTGTGGAGGATTATGGAGCTACATGTAGAGACAAGGCACAAATTGCAATGTAGAGACAAGGCACAAATTGCAATTTGTGGTGGGCTAGATTATGTGAGATGGATGAAAAAGTCGGTTCCAGCCACAATCGACATAGCTGCATGAGGTATATACATGGTTCTGACACGGGAAATATCGACAACGTGGGTGGAAGAAGCCAGAAATTCAATGGAGAACCTCAGTGATGTAGATATTTGAAGTCGGTTTTATTTTGATGGAGGGTCTTAGCAAGATGTTACGTAGCCATGTAGATGAGGGTTTGTGTTGGAATGGAAGAAAAGTGACAACTAATTTTTTTCTTCTTAGTGATTTGGAGGGCAGACAATTGTTAATATGCAAGAACTGCACCCCAATTCCATATTAGTTGGGATTGTTGTATGGCACCACTGTATCCATTCGACATGATTTAGACAATTTTCATTCTATTATTCAATAATACCGAAGGTAATTTACACCTCACACGTTTCTCTATACTGATTTACAAATCTATAAACGAACAAAAACGATTTTTGTCAAACACTTGACGTGATGTAAATGTCCCAACACAGCCTGTTTTACTAGCTTTGCTGTTTTTATTTGACATCTTCTAACAATACACCTAACTTGTACACATTCTGGTCTTAAGATCAATCATTAAGTTTAAATCACTCTAATATGCAGGAAAAAGTTCAACCTTTTCTTTTTTAATCTCTGTGCTAGTAAATTGACACAACATATATTAGGTCGAAGGGATTACTTGGTGAATGATTTGCATGAGTTTGCATCTTTCATTATGCTTATGTTTAGACATCTCTTATGGTGAGATCTTTTCGTTAATTTGTGAATATTTACTTTTAATTTCAGATACGAGGCTTGGGTCATATATAATTTTCTATCACTGTGCCTGGCATGGGTTGGCGGCCCAGGGTCTGTTGTTTTAAGTTTGAGTGGCCGAGTTCTAAAGCCAAATTGGTGTCTGATGACCTGCTGCTTTCCTCCACTTCCTTTGGATGGGTAAGTTGCGCATATGCATAGAGCTTCTTTTATTTTGTCAATTACAAGCAACTCCTTGAGGATTCTTCAGCATGAACCATTTTTAAAATTTATACATTACTCACACCTCTATGTAGGAGAGTGGAGACTCATATTGATGGTTTATATGATTGGTTGCAGTGCGTTTCTTCACTTGAATTTGAGATGACTGAAAAAAGTTTCAATGGATATTTTGAATAGTGTTGGTGCTGTTGAATTTATGATTCCCTTGATTTCTGTGACCAAATTATTATTACCTTGTTTTACATTTCAACTATGTAGGTTTCCATGTTGCAATTTAGTTAATTAATTTCATGTATTGACCTTAGGTCTCTTGTTTATTTTTTGTTTAAAACTGTATTTCTGATAATGTTCAAGAAATGCAGGCGCTTTATTCGAAGGTGCAAGCAGGGATGTTTGCAGTTTGTGATTCTCAAGCCCATATTAGTGGCAGTTACAATCATACTTTATGCAAAAGGAAAATACGAGGATGGAAATTTCAGTCCAATGCAGTCGTACCTCTACCTCACAATTATATATACTATCTCATACTCGATGGCACTTTATGCCTTGGCTTTGTTTTACGTGGCATGCAAAGATTTGCTCCGGCCATTTAATCCAGTTCCGAAGTTTATCATTATAAAATCTGTCGTATTCCTTACATACTGGCAGGTATGTTTTTTTTTGCCTAATTTTGATTTGGAATCATATATTATCACTCACCTGGTTTGCTTAGTTACATCCTATTTCTCCCTTTAGTGCTAAGTAAGCAATTTTTTTATTTTTTAAAACTATTGAACTCCTTTTGCTTTCACAATTCCGGCATACGGTGCTTTATTACTAATTGATTCTGTTAGCACAAAAAAATACAATAATAATTTTTTACAACGTTTGCCCTATGGGGAAATCGGATAAAATTGGAACGATATGGAGAAGATTAGCATGGCCCCTGTGCACAAATAACTTTTTCATGATGTTGCTGTCAAGGTTAGCTTGCGCTATACCAATGTTACTTGTAGTTAATTGTTTGGTCCTAGTAGAGGTTGGCAGTTATTTGACTCATTATAACAAGCTGAAGAATTGTTGTTCTTACAAGGTGCTAATTGATGCACGTGGGTAAAACTGTTCTATACCTAAAATCTTTTGTTTTCTTTGAACCAGCTATATGCCTTGATCTTCGTTTTTTTTCGTTTTTGGTTCACACGTTGAGCTTTTTGGTTTTTGGTTCACAAGTTGAGCTAAAAAGGTGAATTGATGTAATTTTGACACACTTCAACATTTTCTCCTTTCAAGCCAAACCTAAACAGGGAGGAACAAATAGCTTTTACCTGTTTAGTTAAGATGTGGTAGTTTGCTTGCTGATGAAGTGATGCTGCCTTATTGATATATCTAAATTGGTCATATTCTTTTAATGGGGTTCAACTAGCTGAAAGATAGACTATCTTACCTTTATCTGCCTTTATTTTTTGTTATGTGATGTATAACAGAGCTTTTACTGAAATAATAGCAATTGGCTGGTCTTGTTCTTTCAATTACAGTTTTGCATTGAATTATGTGTCAAGTTCTCATAATCCTTCTTAACTTCCGCTCCCAGGGTGTTCTGGTGTTTCTTGCTGCAAAATCTAGACTTATTAAAGATACCGAGGAAGCTGCTGAATTTCAGAATTTTATAATTTGTGTTGAGATGCTTATTGCAGCTTTTGCTCATCTTTATGCCTTCCCGTATAAGGAATATGCTGGTGCAAACATTGGTCCTTCTCGTGGTTTTACTGCTAGCCTTGGACATGCTCTTATGCTAAATGACTTTTACCATGACACAGTCCACCAGGTAAGACAATCACTTGCTCATTTTCCCTTGTGCTGTATTTTTACTCGTGTCCTGACAGATTCTGTGTTCTACAATGGATGCAGTTCGCTCCTACTTATCATGATTATGTTCTCTATAATCATGGTGATGGTGAAGAGGGGGGTGCAACAAAGTACAGGGCAAGGACTTTCGTCCCAACTGGCCCAGAGATGGATACTGTTAGAAAAAATAAGCACATATTTGGAAACAAACAGGAAGATGTACAATTATCTAGTCTCTCTCCCTCTGCTAATAACAACAATGCACAAAATCCTGGTGCAGGACACCAAACAGGGAAATCTGAAGCAATGAATTGCTCGCTGCTTATGGATGCATCAAATAATGTTTCAGCGCCCTATGACCTATCTCTGATCGATGTTGACATTTCAAATTATCCATCTAAGGTACCTGCAGCCAATTCTGGGACAAGGTGATAATGACATTGGATTTTCATTCATGTGTGAATTTTTCTTTTTTTCTTTAGTTTTTGTTGGGAATTAGATGTGCACTAGCGGTCTCACGCAATCCAGATTGTCTTTCTATGGAGCTCAGAGTTGTAACTTAGTTTGTAAATGTAGGCAAAGCTAGTTTTCAGCCATTTCTTTTTGATTGTTTGATCCTATTTCCATATTTAGTGTAATTAGAGAAAACCTCAGTTATGTTTGCGCTGGAATGATTAACTCTAGCTCACTATATATTACACAAGGAACTTTTATTCTCTCTCTTTGGAAGGTTCCTTTTCGTTCCTGATATTGGAGTCCGGAAGTTGTGTTTATAGAAAGCCGCTGTTATGCGTTCTATATTTTCCATCCACATTTTTGTTTTAGTTAAATATCTGAATCATTAGCTCCTATTGGTTGACTTAGAGTATTGGTCTTGGACATTTGATCTGTGGGTGCGAACTTGTGTAGTAATGATTAGCTCCTATTGGTTGTCAACGCAAGCAATACTTATAGCCGGTTTGGCCAAGCTTCTCCAAGTTCAAAAAAAGTGCTTTTTCCCCAAGTTGAAGTGTTTGGTCAAGCTTTTAGACAAAAAAAGTGCTTTTGAGTAAAAACGGAAGTAGTTTTGGAGAAGCAGAAAAAATAGTTTCTTTTCAGAAGTATTTTTTTGAGAAGCACTTTTGATAAAAATACACTAAGAAGCACTTTTTAAAAGCTTGGTCAAACACTAATTGCTACTTAGAAGTGCTTTTCAAAGTAATTAGCAACAAATTGCTTCTCACCAAAATACTTTAAAAAGAGTACTTTAAAAAAAGATACTTCTTAAAGTAAGCTGATTTTTTCAGTTTGCAAAACAGACTATAAAGGGTTTTTTAATCTTAGGGAGATGGATTTTTTGTAGGTGAAATTTTGAGATTTTCTTAGTCCAACAAATTCTGTTAATAAAAAGGTGTGGATTTCATTAAACAGTAAAAGAACTTGGATTAAAATGTTTACTTCACCCAGTTTAACAACTTAATAATGCACTTTATTCTTTCTAATGCTAGGCATGCGCTAATTGATACAATGAAAGGTGTGTGGCACGTACAAAAAACTTTTCAGAAACGTGATTAATATAAAACATATGCCATCAGAAACATGATTAAAATAAAACATACGCCATTAGAAACACGATTAATATAACACAAACGCCATATATATATATATATATATATATATACTTGCGCGTTTTACCCACATCTTTTATGTGCTATTTTAATGTTAGTAAGTAGGTGCAGCCAAACACGTCGTCTGTTGGATGTCTCACAACGCGTTATCAAATAGCAAGGATTATATGTTTACTTTCACACTGAATTAACTGTTGTCGCTTTGTTATTGTACGTAGTCGTCATATTTTTTATGTAATATTGGTCATCAGTTGTATATATATTTTATCTTATTTTCACATCTGTGATGGGCCATTTTATAAGGTGGAAAATCACGAAACATTTTGGTTTTTTTAGGTGACATAAGATAAGGGAAAAAAAAAAAAACAAAAAGGGAAGGACGAAAAAGACATATTTTATATGTGATAGGTTTTCTTTGTTTGACCAACAATTTCAGTCCGCGTACTTAATCAAGAGGATTTATCTGTTTTATTTATTTGGTTCTGCACGGGACCCCAAATCAAAGATATATTATTTTGTGAAAAAAGTAAGTTAGAAATATACCACTCTAGCAGGAGAAAAGATTATGAAAGTATTTTATGTATCTTCGATTGTTGTGCTGTGGAGTTTTTCTACACTTGGGACAAATAAATCACCTTGCTTTTTGGTTGACCAAAAGACTGAGAAGCAAACTAATACTCTACAACAAATCATACCTTCAATCATTATATGATTATCTCTACTTGTGATTGTTTAATTAGTCGTCTCTAGCTTGCAATATATTAAATGAATAACTCAAGATATCTTCTTTTACTAGTTTTTAGTCGCAATCGTATGATTCACGCTTAAGGTCTGATTAGTGGATATAATTAAGTTAATCTCAATCTTGATTCTTCAAATAAATGGTCAATGTTGATGGAAATAATTAAGGGTCGGCGGACTATACATGAAGTGCTTGCTCAGGTTTAGGATCAACAAAACTCTGAACCAATATGATGTCTTTTAATTTAAAACACAACTGGGAACATCAAGAAAATTATGGATATTTTTATATTTGATAATAGGTGAATTTGACTATAATCACGCACCGAATAACCACCTTCTTGTGAACTTTAATGTGGAAAAATGACAACAAAATGCTCTTATTGGTACTTTTCATGATTTGCAGGTGATATAGATGTAAGGAAGGCTAAGGAGCAGTTTGGAGTCAACTATTGATGAAAAAAAAGCTAATTGTTGCATTTCCCAAGTGACCCATTCAAAACAGGCCAAATTGCCCGGATACAGGGTCTACCGCGGTTCCACCGCGACCGCGGTGAAACCGCGGTGGAAGGTAGTCTCTGAATAATTGAAGATCCGCGAGGGTATTTTACCGCGGTTCTACCGCGATCGCGGTAGAACCGCGGTGGACACAGAAACTTCGGGGACCAAAGTGTAAAACACGGGATTTTTAGACCTAAACCCTATTTTAAACACTAGACTTCGCCCAAGAGAGGCATATATTGATTTTTTAGGTTTCTTAGCAAGGAGAACAATTGTGAAAAAGTACTCTAAACATCTTTCTTCTTTTCTTTTGATTTTATGATGAATTCAAGTTTAGTTTATTCTCCCATAACTATGAGTAGCTAAATTTCTTGTCTAAGGCTTTGATGGAACCTATTGGGTGATGAACTTCTTGTTTATGTGAATACACATTGCTAGTTTAATCTTTATTTGTTCAACTTCGTGTTCGTTGTAGTTAATTGACAGGATCCTCAATTAGTTGTGCCTATTTAGTGTGCATAACTTGGAAAAGAGTGCATATTTAGGGTTTTGTTGAACAACACCACTCCTAGATTATTAGAGGAATCTATAATTGCGGGTTTAAAGGCGGGATTAGGAATAATGAAGCCTTGGGTGCAATCTAAAGTGAATTGTGCTAAATAAAGCAAGCTAGTGTATCTCGGGAGAGTGCAATAGTAGATTACTGTGATTACTCGGGAGAGATTTGCGGTAAGATTAGTGTTCATGATTGATAGAGGTGTGTGGGTGAATTTGTATGAGCATAAACAGAAGGGATTCCATCAATAGGGGAAATCATTGCCTTAGCTTTTTCTCATAATTGTTTATAACCCTTTTTATTAGTTATAGCATTGTAGTTACTTGAAAGTTAGTTAGTAAAGAACACTCAATTGAGAATTTAAATATTTGGGAAGCTGATTCTGAAGACTTGGTGGGTCTGAAGGTTGCAACTGATAGGTTAACTCTCTGTGGGATATCGACTCCGGACTTGTAAACCGGATTATATTTGCAGCGACCGCATTGTCCTTTTTATAAGGCGTAGTTGGGCGTGATCAGATAGGCAAAAATCTCAATTTCAATTGAAAGAATAAGTTGAATGAAAAGTTTTTGATTTATCTATCATTATAGGGTGTTAAATGGGTGGGCCGGGCCGGACTGGGTTGGGATTTTTTGTACCCGTACGGGTTATGGTCCCGGCCGGTTATGGGTTGGGGCTTACCGGGTTTAATGGGTTTGGGTTCATCCGGAAAATTGAACCGTAAGGGTTACGGGTTGAGGGGGCCGGGCAGGGCCGGGTTTAGTGTATTTTTTAATTTTTTTTTGTATTTTATATAACTATTATAAATTATATTAATACTTTGTATTAATATAAAGAATACAAGGAAGATGGAAAAAAAATTGCATTTATAAATTGCAAGTGCTACATTTATTTCAAAATTACAAAATTAAAGTTTGCATTTAAAAAGTAAATTAACAAAAAAATAGTAAAACTAAATTTTCATGCATAATAAATTATAATACTTCAAATTAATCTAATAAACTAAAACATTAAGCATAAATACGTCTAATAATTTTAAAATAACACAAATTGTCTTAAAATCTTAAATACGAATTTCCGGAGGACGCTCAAGACAATACTTTATATGCCTCCTTAAACTGCCTGTGCCCGACCTTGAACGAAGATTTAAGACTTGACCACAATTCTTGCACTTTACTTTCTGACCTTCTTCATTTTCTTCTACCACCTCAAAGTGTTGCCAAACATATGAGCGCACTCTAGAAGTACGAGGCATGATTTAACTTGAATTGAGATTTGAGAATTGAGATTGAGAAATGAGAATTGAGAGATGAGTGAAGAAATGAGGAAGAGGGAGGGGGGGGGGTATTTATACTTTTTCAAAGGGGGTTAATTTAAAAAAAAAAAAACCCAAAATTGGGCTAATTGTGCAATTCAGCCGTTGGGCAACGGCCATTTTCTGAAATGGACCTTTGCCAACGGTCAGATCTGGGCCCAGCTAAAAAAAAAAATTACCGTTAAACCGATGTGGGCCGGGCCAGTTAACCGGTTTAACGGCGCTGTTCATCTAACGGGTTGTACCGGTCCGGGTAACCGGTATTTAAAATGTAAACAGTGCAACCCGCGTGTCCCCCTAACCCAGCCCAACCCAGCCCCCTTAACCGGTCCGGGCCGGTTCCGATTTTAACCGGTCTAGGCCGGTGCGGAACCGGGTTGACCCGGCCCGTTTAACACCTATAGTGTATATCACACACAACACAAAAACTGGTTCTCTCTTGAAAAGGTAGCATTTATTATACTTTTAACAAAGATAAGGGGGTCATAGGACCCCCTCAAAATATAAGGGTACATCTGGTAAAATGAGACAATCATAGGGGTAACTATGTATTATCCCTAAAAAAAAACGAGAAAATCTTAGAAAAGTATTGCATCGCTAGGGTGAATCAACATATATGTGTATTACTATAACAGAGGTTTTGTCTCAACGTGCACATTACATGACCTATTTGAATCAACATAATATTTTAGGCAATTAAAGTTTATTGCTGAGGCACTTGTCAACAAGTTTTACTGGTGAAGTACTTATAAAAAGTCTCTATAGTAAGCCTTGCATGACAATCATAAATTCAGTTAGTTTGAAGCACCGACAACTCACGTAAAGAAGATACTATCTTGTCAAAGAAACACTTATCAAACTTGCAATAATGCAATTATTATTCTTGAAAGAGATAGGGAAGGAGAAAGTTAGGTTATAATTTTGTAACGATCTGACCGGTCATTTTGTTTTCTAGAACTCCGTTCCCCTAAATAAGACTTCTCGTACGTACTTTACTATTTTATGACTTGCGGGGATTGTTAGGGGTG